GTAGATAGAAATTTAATCTCAAGCTCATGAGATTTTTCAATAGATGAAATCAAAGGTATACAATTTTCCGCAGTATCTAAAATTTCATATTCTTCCTGAATATAATTTAAATCATCAATAATCATCTCATTTGATTCACTTTCAGAATCTCCTTCAGCCTTTGCTTCTTATTCTTCTCTAAAATGACTTCATCTTTTTGACTCAACATGACTTCACATTTATTTTGAAAATGATTAATAATCATATCTTCAATAATATTCATTCTATAGCATTTTCCATCAGGATACTTCATTGTTTTAAGCACATTAAATGTAATTTTCTGGTCATTTACTCTCATTGTTAATTCACCTTTTTTTGCACATTTATCATTACTCGTCCGGTAGCAAGGAAATGTCTCCCTAAAATAATAGAAATTTTTTTATCTTCTTCTATATCTAATACAGTAAAATTAACAGGGAAGATAAATTTTTCCACTTTAACCAGTACATCTTCTATAACCTCTTTAGGATAAGTGATAACTCTATCAGCTAATTGAAGAGTTATAGTAGTGAGAAAAATATCTCATAAACCTAACCTTTTGAATATAGATAGAGGCATAAGGTTAATTTTCGCTCCTAAATCACATAAAACTTTTCCACAAAATTTCTTTTCAATTACACAAGGTATGGTAAAGCTACCAGGATCTTTGAGTTTTCGAAGAAGCATTTTCTGAATTATTGCACTGTATTTTTCACTAAGTGCAACAGCCTCATAATCTACAACTTTCTTTTTTTATTTAAAATATCTTACAAAAGTTTGTCATAGCTTAGCATCTGTTCTAAAACCTCAGCAAAAATGATATTAATTGTAAGCTTCTTGAATATTTCAAAAATTTTGAAAATTGTTGATCCAATTTTTGTTATTTAAGTCTTTGAGGAAAAGGTGATGGGGGTCTTTCTAAATTAATCTTAGATGGAGAATTATGTGTTTCTGTTTTCTTAGGAATAATCTTTCAGGTCTTTCGATTTCTTCAACTTCTCTCTCAACTTCAATTTCTTTTTGAACTCCAACATTTAATTTATTTCCACTCCTTAGTTGGACAGTTTTAACTTGCTTTGGCTCCTTACTTTTTTCTTTAAGATTGATCTCTACATTATTAGGAAGTGTACTAGGAAGTGTTCTCTGAAGCCGATTGCTAAGCACGTTAGCAATTTGCCCCAGTTGATTCTTTTCTGAAGCCGATTACTAAGCACGTTAGCAATTTGCCCCAGTTGATTCTTTATATTTTTAATAGCAGCACTTTGATATTATAAATGATTACCCATTTGCAACTTGAGTTCTTCCAAAGATAACTTCTTCTCCTCAACTTGTTGATTAAATCCAGGAGGACAAGTAGGTCTAAAGTTATCATTACCCTTGTTGCTCAAATTTCTCAATGGGTTAACTAGAGTATTACCCCATTGTCGACTTTCACTAATATGATTGTTGTTTCAGTTGAAGTTAGGATGGTTTTTTTAATCTGGGTTGTAATAATTTGAATATGGGTTATTAGGTTTGTTGATAGCATTTATAGTTTTCATTGAAATATGAGAATCAATCATTTGTCCTAATGAGTTTTCTTCAACCATTTGGGGTGTTGGATAAAAATTCATTCCAATTTGGTCTTTCTTAGATAATGCAGCAACTTGGCATACAATCATTGAGATAGCATCGTTATCATGAATGTTGTCTGCTTTCTTAGGATTTACCCTATCAGAAGGTCATTGAAAATTATTTGTAATCATTTCTTTAATTAATGAATAAACTTCATCAAAGGGCTTAGACATTAATGAATTTTCAGCAGCAGCATAAATAATAGATCTAAGTGATCTTACTAACCCATTATAAAAAGTTTGAATGATTAATCAGTATAGTAAATCATAATGCGACACTTTCTAAGGAGTTCTTTAAGTCTTTCTCAAGCTTCGTATACGGATTCTCCTTCATACTGAGTAAAAGAAGTAATATAATTTCAGAGTTTCGCAATTTTTTAATGCGGAAAATACTTAGCCAAAATTTTGAGTTAAATCTCCTCAGGTTCTAATAGATACATGTGCTAATGAATTTAACCAGATCTTAGTTTTATTCTTTAATAAAAAAAAGTCTAAGCGTGATAGGATCATTTGATACGCCAACATATTTAAATGTAGCACAAGGTTCTAAAAAACTAGCTAAATATAAATTTGAATCCTCAGATGGTGTTCCTCCAAACTGATTATTTTGTACTATTTGTATAATCGAAAGTTTAAGTTCAAATGAGTTAGTCTCTACAGCAAGAATTTGAATATTTAAATGAATTTCATCTACTGTAGGATTCGCATAATCCAGTAACGGTTTTTGTAAATTATGATGTTCATTTTCAATAGTTTGAATTTCAATATTGTTTTGTGATGTGTTTTCATTTCTTAAGAATTATGAAGTTTTCATTGTTTTCAAATTTTTTTAATAGTTCGTTCCAATTTAAAATCGTAAGGCACTAAATTTTCAGATCCTAAACTACATATAAACAATGTAAAAATTGTAGAAAATAAAATAGCACACCAAAAATGAAAATATTTTTTAATTTTTAATTTTAAAATTTTTGTTGGTATTTTCAATTTTTTTCAAAATTATTTAAATTTTCAATTTTCAAAACTAAAATTCAAATAAAATTGTAAGTTAAAAAATTTCATCGCAATCACTGGCAACGGCGCCAAAAACTTGACCCAACACGCACTTACGCGTATTTTTAATCTTTTTAATTATGTCAGAAAATATATCTCAATTTATATCTAACAGCTAGTGTGAACATTCGCAATAATTTATAAATTATATAATAGATTTTCACACTATGAGTACTACGCAAGTATACGTATCGCTTCAAATAATATAGGATTTTCTTTAAAAACCTCAGTATCGATCCAAAGAGGAATGCGGAACTCTTAAAATTAATTTACATAAATTCTACTTAAATTGCAATTTAAAAAGATTAAAGATTTAAAATGATATGCTTACCAAAAATTACTACTAAAAGTAGCTAAAAAGAAAGTAACAACTAAATGTAAAAACTTAGCAAAATATAACAAGCTTGGATATTATGAAAAAGTTTTTCCTCTTGTAAAGAGATTTTAATCTACGTAGAATTCAGATGATTTAAGACAAAATTGTAACATTGTGACAAATAAAAACATATCTTATTCTTTACTTCATCACGGTGTTTTCAAAGAACATTAGCTAACTTAGGGCTGATTCTTTAACATCTCAACTCCACATAAGTATTATCTAGTCTCTCACCTCGAGATGCCCCTAGCCTATGCCATCGTAAAGACCAAATCTCAGCATCATGGTACTAAACATTAAATCAAACTTATAAGAATTTAGCTCGTCACTTTAGATCTAATCAATTTTATGCCCATTAAAACTTATTATTCTATTTATTTGCACTCTCCCTTAGGTGATCGTCATGACTCTGCCTAGAATGATGAAGTGTGGTATCCATGGTATCCACTAGTTGGGTGAAATCATAGCCCTCCTAGGTCAATATGTTTCTCAACGGATTTTAACCTCACAAATAGTCAGTTTGCAAAGTAAATAAAGATTCGGTGAAAATACCAACACAATTTTTAAAAGTAAAAAAAAACTTTAAATCATTCTCATCTCATAAGCTTAGGTCTCATATGCAAAAAGAAAAAAACGGAACTACTCAGAATTCATGGAGATTAAATAAAAACAAAAAATTTGCATTGAAATCCAAGTCTTACAACAAAAACTCAAACACAAATACAAAATATCTTATGTCTTCTCTCCAAGCAAACTTCTGAAGTTTCCTCTAAGCAATCTCCAAACTTTTTCGCACTAAAACACACTCACACTTATCCTTGAACACAAATATGTAAAACCTAACTCACTATTGTCGTCCAATTGAAATTTTGAGGCTCCAAAACGTCTCTAAATTTGGTTAAATCCTTCTCATTAAATAAAAAAAAGAAAATAACTAATGGTTGCTTCAAACACCCCTCCAAAATTTGGTCAAATTCGATGTATCTTCTAGAAAGATAGTTACTGACACTATAGCGTCAGTCTGGGCGCTATGGCTCCAAGGGGTGGCTCTATAGCGCCACACAAAAATTATCATTTTTGCTTTATTTTTTTCTCATTTTCTTTAAATATTCATTTTGTGTACCTAAAACCAAAAACATGCAAAATACTTTCATTTAAAGTGCAATACCATCAAACATGTACATGAAAGGCTTATAAAACATGCACTAAAAATAAGTTATTTTCAGGTGGATCAGATACAGAGAATATTCATCAGATCTAAGAATGATTGTGTGCAACACACGAGCATCAGTGAAGATACCTTGACCTTAAGCATAAAAAATTTGAATTTGAGATTAGAGAACATATCATCCTTAAGATTTTGTCGGTGGGTGGATTTACAAGATTTGGAAGAAGTAGAAAGCTTTAGTCTCATTTTACTAATCATATTGATATAATCAAGAGAATTAGCAAAATTTCATATCATTTAGCTATTAGTAAGAGACTAGATAGAGTGCACAATATCTTCTATGTCTCTCTCTTATGATGCTATATGCATGATAATTCTCATATTATTGAGTTCAATTATTCAAATTATTAAATTGAATGAACTTGAACAACTTTTAATAGAGTGAATACAATTGTTTATTAAGTACATTAGTTTACGTACAATGCTAGAGGATGGTAAATTCAGGATAAGGGTTATGAATTTGAATGGAAGATCGCTAAAGCCCCACTCAAATCATACTCGAAAAAAGTTGGAACGTAGCTAGTTTGAACTACAAATTAATCTCCTAATTTAAAAGAAGAAAACAAAAAAACTGAACCTACTCTAGGCACAGTCAAACTCTATTCGAAGTAGATGAACTAAGCTTGACTTGGATTGAGATTGGATCCAGCCAACCCTATATGTACGCCTGCCTCGAAAAAGAATCAAATTGCATTAAGCGACTGTGAGAACTCACCTCCAAGCTAGCGAACAATCTGGGTCGCCACATCCAGCGATACTCGGCAACAAAACATGGCTTCCAGTCGAAAACTCGGGTAGGGAAGAGTAAGGAAACTCCCCGCTTATCGAAGAAGGAAATGGCAGGCGTAGAATGGAAACTGATCGGCATGCCGAATTCCACCAGAGATACAGAGAAAACGAGGGAGGATGAGGATGAGAAGGGAAGAGGCGATGAATTAAATAACTTCCCTAAACGAGCGAGTCTCGAAAGCTAGCAGCGAGCAGAAAACATACGGAGCACGTGGGGAATTAAGTGCTTTAAGTGCTCGACTCCAATAACATCTCCTGTAGATATTATTGTAGTGCGGGGGCTATTGGGAGTATAATTTGGAGTTATTGAAAGGATATTAGAGCATTAATTTTAAAAACGACATAACAACTTCTCAATAATTTTTTAATAACTTATGTTGTTACACTCTTAATAAACTATCAATAACTTTTACGATTACATTTCACGTTGCATAACCTGCAATAATTTCATAATAATACACCAATAACTCATCAATAATCTCTGCGATTTCACTTCAATAACTTTTAAATAATTCTCTCGTGACAGTATATTACTCGAAATTCACACACAGAGCTATGTATGTACTCTGGGCACAGCTGGCAAATTTTCATTCATACACATAATTCATGTGTATTCACATGTTTTACACTTAAATTTTTTATATTTATATTTATAATAATTTTGTCATATATATATATATAACGTATGGCCAGAGGTTATTATAAGAGCCTCTAGCTAACTATAATGTGCCAAATAATTCGAGTAGCACATTGTTAAGGCCAACTGTATCAGAGAGGATTCGAACTTCCGGCCTGAGAGATTTTATGCCGAGGATGTCAACCAACAGGTCGAGATACACGTAACACGGCACATATAATATATAAGCCATTGGTGTTCTGTATGTAAATATGAAGGGTTAGCTGTTAGACATGTAAATATATAAGAGTTGTGTGATATGTATGTAAATATCCCTTTTTTTTAATGATAAGTAATGATGCGTGCCAGAAAACTCGCGGCGGTAGAGTAATGGATTATCGTCTTAGCACTAGACAAGAATTTTGCACACACTCAGATGTAAATAAAACAAGTGGTGATAACTCCAGAATTTTTTTACGTGGAAAACCCGTAAGGGAATAACCACGTGGTCTGACCCAGTTGTGGAAATTCACTATTGATTGATGATTATAGAAATCTCTTACCCACAAATGGGAAATGGTAACTATATTTTTCAGATTACAACATCGATTGACGACGTCTAGTTGGTACGTCTAGTTGGTGGTGATCTATGGTGGTTAGTGCTGGTTTATGACGGCTGTCGGAGGTTGACGACAGTTGGCGATGGTCAACGAAGGTCGGCGGTGGTTTTCGAAGGTTCTCGGCGGTGGTCGTTAGCGATCGGCGATGAAGCTGAGCTGCAGCTTCTCCTCAAGGCCTCAAGCTCTCTTTCTCAACTTCGGCTCCTCCTAAGGTGAGGGGTGGGGATCTATTTATAGTATTTTGGGTGCAACTAATCAGGAATATGAACCATTTTGATCGAACGGTCCGGAGAGCTTCCCTCGATCATACAGCGTTTAATGGACATTTAAGTGGCTTAATTATGTCAGAATTGAGTGATATTAGGCTCGTTGGATTCGTCTTATCGAGCCACTCGATTCGAGTATAAATTTGTCATATTCGACAATCGTTTAACCTTCCAAATGTGTTCGGAAATCTTCTAATTATGGTTCAATGACTTGTTATGGGCTTGATTTGACTCGGATTGGACTAGTTTTTATATCATTAGGTCCGTCTAATCGAGCAGGTCAATTTGACTATAAGTTTGTTGAAATTGTAGCTTTGGATGAATTTTTATAAAGATCTGAATGTTTCTTGTTCAAAATATTATCTCGGGATTCGTGTCATGTCTCGATATTTGTGTCAGATGATGAAAATTTATTGGTGGCATATCATGTAAAATTTTACTATATATGATTGGAATAATAAAATTGGGACAATTTTAACTAATTTTTTTTTCAAAGTTCTTTTTGAATTAGAATACATTAAATCTTATGCAATAGTGAAATAGGAGAAATAAATCTTTATTTAACGTAAATACTTGGCAATAATTTAATATTAATTATTTAAATATACTATTCATATTTATGATAATTTAAAAGAAAATCAAAACTACTAGAATTCTATTAATAATTAAAATATGTAATTTATTTTATATTAATAGATATTTAAAAATTTTAATTTATATAAATACATACTAAACCTAAACACAACCTTCCTCCCATTATAACATATATTGAGAATGGTATTTCGATGAATTTTGATATAAAATCTCTCCTTTAAGAATGCATTGTTTAACAGTTTCTTCCTTCTCCTACATATCTTTTGGCCCCCCTTATTGAGGATTCTGGGGTGAGTCTTTCCCTTCTTCTTCGTCTTCATTCCCCATCATATAAGATTTCAAAAGGCATTCCTTGTTTCGAGCGATTAGAGTTACCTTTATCTCCTCATTCTCTCTCTAACCTTAGGTCAAGTGCTCTTCATGTTCTATCTCTCGATAGTTCTGACCAAGGCAAAATTTGCCTTGGTAGCTCTTGTCTGGGTATTCTTCGTCTAAGAACCACTTACCTTGACTATGTAGTGTGTGTTAAAGGTTAGGCTTGGGAGTGAGATCTTGAGGTCTCTCTCATATCTTGTACTATCTTCATGACACGTTCTCTTATTTTGTTAATCTTATGTATTACAAACTTCCTGGAGCAATCCATCGGTCTTCTTCTTCTTTATATGAGAAAGATCTTCTTATTGAGTTTGAGTATAAACTTCACACTCATCATACCTTTTAACATGTTGAATCATTTTAGAACATAGGGCTCATATTACTCGTGGGTACATACAATTCGGTAAAAGCTTTGTTTTTAGAAGGAAGGTGGAAGAAAGAGATGGATGTGAAACTTGTGAAAGTGTCTTCGGTTGTTTCCATTGAGCTTACCTTAGATAAACCATAAGAAATGGCTCAAAAGACTTATTTGATTACAACATTTCTTCTAAAAAAAGTCTTGAAATGTTCTAGGATTTTCTTCTCTTGATTTTCCTTTTATATATAAAGGGGGTGAAAATAAAAAATACATGGCGTACGATATTGCACATATTTGTGATGTCTTTGTGACAAAAGCTTAATGTCGGCGTCAAGCAGAGATTTTTAAAAAATGAACTTGCATCCTTTCAAATAATATTAATCAGCCCTGATACTGTCCATCTCTAAAAGGACTGAGTTGTTCCCACATGAGAGATAAATCTAGGTGTTTTAGGCTTTGACATAGCGATTACTTTAGCTACTTTGGCATCTAGGCTTAGTTCAATCACTTCACAGCTAGGCTCAATTCACAAAAACGGTCTAATTACGTTGCACACACGTCTCGTTAGACTTATTATTAGGCTTCGTATAACTTTTTTTTAGATATATAGTCATATTTGTGTATACAATATAATAAGTATTTGAGAAGTGTAAATCATTCTTATTTTAATATACAATATTATTAACTTAATAATGCTATTATTAATAAGAGCATTTACATACATAGCACACAATTTTTTATGTATTTACACATCTCGCACGTTAATTTTTATATTTACACACAATGCACACTGAAATCTTTAATATAACATTCAAAATTGTATTATTATAACTTTTTAAAAACATAACATATTATTTCATGCATAGGTTTAAAACACCAAAGTGCTATATATATATATATATATATATATATGTATGTATATAAAGATTAGGTATGAGATATGTAGAAACATAAGAATTGCATCCTAAGTGCGTAAAATTTTATTTATTTATTTTCTTAAAATCTTATTAATTATATCTCTTCTGCCATGACATCCCAAAATTCACATCAAATCCGCATTGCATCAATTTGTCCATCGAGATCAATTGTGACTGCACTATCACAATCAATTTTTATGAATCTATATATCAAAGACCAAAATTTTAATTTTTATATTTAAAATATTTTAATAATAAAAAATATTCATGGAAATATGTTTTTTTATTTTTAAAAAAATCAATGATAATAACATTTTAATGCGATGCAAAAAAATTGAATAGTAGATATACAAATATTAAAGTTTAAATTTTACATATGCAAATATATAAAGATAGTATGGTATGCATGCTATGTCATGTTCCTCTCGTTGTCCAAGAAGCTCATTGTTCGCAGACAACTTGTATTCAGCTAGCTAAGTAGCTCGTGTTCTATTCATTCAGTAAGTGAAAGGGTCCAACACTAACATAACTTTTTTAGCTTAATTTATAAAAGAGCCGAACACAAAAAAAGATTTTTTTGTTCATGCTCAACTCGATTTAAATTAAATTAATTAAATATTAAATAATATTAGTATTGTCGAAATGTCAACAACTGTAAAGTGATTATTTAACATCTTAACATTACATGAAAAACCGACACACATTCAAGTAAAAGAGAGGTAAGCAGGGGGTGACACCTCAAATTTTTAATTATAAAACCTTGAAAAGGGGAAAAACCATAAGACTTAGCCCGATTAAAATAATTCACGATGTACTTTTGATTAATTTGTCCACTCTTCTTTATAATTAGAGAAGATGGAATTATAAAGTTGATATACAATAACAACTAAGCAATAAAAGTCATAAAGAGCCGCAAGGTTATGGTCAATGGCTACAAAGGCAATAACATGTCATCAATGTTATAGAGAATGGTTGCAGTATCACATTGTTGTAGAGGCAATAGTACTGAGCAACGAGTTAGGAGCGGGCGACAACAGTTGACAACGGTCGATAGTCATCGAAGGTTGCAGAAGCAAGAAACATTTACTATATTTTTGGTGCAGAAATGATAATGGGTTTATGCTCCTTCTTTTGATCCTTCTCCACACTCAGCTCTAGGTCTTCCTTTGGTTCAAGGGTCAGTCCCCCTCTTATGGAGGGGATAGGACTCTATTTATAGAGTTCAGAAGAGGCCTCTCATTAAATAGATCAGTTCATCGGATGACCCAAAGAGAAACCCTTGATCGGGACACTGTTTTACAGACATTTAAATGTCTCAACGATATCAAAATTGCGTGATCATAGGCTCATTGATTCAACATGTTGAGAATTTTGATTTTACTATTAACTTGTCAGATTTGGAATATATTTGATCTTTCAACTAAACACCAAATGCTTCTAAAAATAGTTAAAGGGCTCGATCTACGCTTGATTTGACTCAAATTAGGTCATTGTTTGTGTCATTACGTTCTTCTCATCATGCTAGTCAGTTGAACATAATTTGCAGTTTTCTTTATTAAGCGTTCCTCTTTATGGTTTTGTAGGTATTTTTTTGTGCAATTGCATGATACATGTTTTTAAGAGAGCTTTAAAGATGCATCAACAAAGATTGTAGCCAAAGAAGAAACTGAGTCAGACATGAGCCTAATGGTTCACCCAATCCATCAAAGCCATTTTACCTTGAGTGGTGCCTAGGTGTCACCTTATGGGCACATAGGTGCCACCTCGGAGCATAGCACCATATGTTAATGTCTATTAATAGAGCAAATGAGGCCAAGACACCAGATATGGAGTGCTTAGGCGCCCCCTTAAGAACGCCCATGGTGCACCTGCGCCGCCTAGTCCATCATCTTGGTGCCGCTTCTTTTGGCACAATAATCCTATCTACTCATTCTAGCGTGCTTCTTTACATAGCGAGCAACACTTTGACGCTCCAAGCAGAAATCCCAATGCTGACGAACCAACATAAGGGATGTACAGTGATTTCTGTCAGTGTGGAGTCTCATAGGGCTACCAAAGGCCAAAACTCTCGTGAATAAGGGTTATTCTTCGCGTATTTAACTTTGGTCTACCTCTGGTTTTCCTTTTCCTCTATGTGAGAGTAACGACGTCGTAAGGGAAAGCAAGATTTTTGCAAGGGAGAGAACATTGTCCAAGGGAAATATAAACGACCAGCGAAAGAGGAACACAATTTTCTAATTGCAGCTTGAGGGTATCATTGGTTCTTTATTCTTAAAATATGCTTATTTATTTTCTTTGATAAATAATTTGTTCATTTTGTTATTTCAAAACATAAGTAGCCACTACATCTCTTTTTCTTTCTGATTCGGTAAATAAAACTCTTGGATTTTTTATATTGATATGTGATTTGGTCGTTGAATGTTTACGATATTATTTTATCCTTTTTAATCTTAATTTTCCTTCAATATGACCAATTGAAGAGTTATAGATATGCAACAAAAAGTAAATTGACAATTCTTTGAGAATGGTAGACACATTTAATTGATGAAGAAATGCTTCTATGTCAATCAATTTTTTTAGTTCATTTAGACATGTAATGAATTTGAGAGATTGATTATGTTTTCTAAGTTATTGATGGAGACTACAGAACATAATTATTCTTGATTAGCAAACTCAGCTTTAACTTAAAAGAAGATAATAATTTATTATATATAAGACATCAAACCAAGAGTGTATTCTCCAATCAACAAAGTAAGCTAATTAACATTTTAATACAAACTCAGCTTTAACTTGAAAGAAGATATTAATTTATTATTTATAAGACATCAAGCCAAGAGTGTATACTCCAATCAACAAAGTAAGCTAATTAACATTTTAA